AAAAATAATTGACTTGGCTATGCAGGCTCTCTTTTGGTTCCATATGAAGTTTAAGGTGGTTTTTTCTAGTTCTGTGAAGAAGAACTAGCTTGATGAGGATAGCATCAAATCTATAAATTACTTTGGGCAGTATGGCCTTTTTCATGATATTGATTCTTCCTAACCATGAGCATGGAATATTTCTCCATCTGTTTGTGTCCTCTCTTCTTTCATTGAGCAGTGGTTTGTAGTTCTCCTTGAAGAATTCCTTTACATTCTTTGTTAGTTGTATTCCTACATTTTTTATTCTCTTTGTAGCAATTGTGAATGGTAGTTCATTCTTCATTTGGCTCTCTTTAAGTCTGTTATTGGTGTATAGGAATGCTTGTAATTTTTGCACATTGATTTTGTATCCTGAGATGTTGCTGAAGTTGCTTATCAGTTTCAGGAGATTTTGGGTTGAGGCAATGGGGTCTTGTAAATATATAATCATGTCATGTCTGCAAACAGAGACAATTTGACTTCCTCCTTTCCTAACTGAATACCCTTTATTTCTTTTTCTTGCCTAATTGCTCTGGCTAGGACTTCCAATGCTATATTGAATAGGAGTGGTGAGAGAGGGCATCCTTGTCTCGTGCCAGATTTCAAAGGGAATGCTTCCAGTTTTTGCCCATTCAGTATGATATTGGCTGTGCTTTTGTCATAAATATCTTTTATTATTTTGAGATACATTCCATCAATACCTAGTTTATTGAGGGCTATTAGCATAAAGGGCTGTCGAATTTTGTCAAAGGTCTTCTCAGCATCTATTGAAATAACCATGGTCAAGTAGGCTTCATCCTGGGGATGCAAGGCTGGTTCAACATACGCAAGTCTATAAACAGTTAGTTTTCAGAGTTCTATAAAGCTTTGACAGTTGTTGCCAGTTTTTTAGTAGATTTTATAAAGATAAAAATTTTGAAAATTTTTATTCCATTTTTGCTGATGTCACTACACCACATTTTTATTACACTATTTGTACCATATAATGTATTTATTATACTATTATAATTACTTATTAATCACAAGAATTCCCAATATTGAAAACAAACAATAAAATTCTGGTAATTTTAGTAGAGATCATAATGGATTGAACAATATAAAACTGACATTTCTTAAATTGAAAAAAATTAAAACTATTGGCACATTGTATTTTTCAAAAGGGCATTTTCAAAAAGTATAGTTTTCTAAAAATATATATTCCATCCCACAAAGTCTTTTTATAATGTAACATTGATGCTCCTCCACTGAGAGGTAAAGTCTATATTCCCTCTGTTTGATCTGAGGCAAATCTTTGTAACTGCTTTAACTAATAAATACAGTGCAGACGATGCTTTCTGACTTCTCAGGCTACACAATAAAAAGTTATATGACTTCTGTTTGTATCTACTTCTCAGGAACCCCTAGTTGAAAAGACTGGAAATCCTAGCCAGAGCAATCAGGTATGAGAAAGAAATAAAAGGCATCCAAATAGAAAGAGAGGAAGTCAAACGATCTATCTTCAAAAGTGACATGACTCTGTAAGGAGAAAACGCCATAGTCTCTGCCGAAAGGCCATAGATCTCATAAACAACTTTAGTAATGTTTCAGGATGTAAAATCAATGTAAAAAAAAATCAGCAGCTATAATCTCAGCACTTTGGGAGGCCGAGACAGGTGGATCACGAGGTCAAGAGATCGAGACCATCCTGGTCAACATGGTGAAACCCCGTCTCTACTAAAAATACAAAAATTAGCTGGACATGGTGGCGCACGCCTGTAGTCCCAGCTGCTCGGGAGGCTGAAGTAGAATTGCTTGAACCCAGGAGACGGAGGTTGCAGTGAGCCGAGATCATGCCATTGCACTCCAGCCTGGGTAACAAGAGGGAAACTCCGTCTCAAAAAAAAAAAAAAAAAACCAGCATTTCTGTACACCAATCTGTGAGCCACACCAAGAACAAAATCCCATTCATAATAGCTGCAAGAAAAACTAAAAATACCTAGGAACACAGCTAACCAAGAGGATGAAAGATCTCTAAAAGGAGAATTATAAAACACTGCTGAAAGCAATCAGATGACACAAACGAATGAAAAAACATCCCATGCTCAAAGATAAGAATCAATACTGTTACAATGGCCATACTGCCCAAAGCAATTTACAGATTCAGTGCTATTTCTATCTAACTATTAATGACATTTTTACAGAATTAGAAAATCCTGTTCTAAAATTTATATGAAGCCAAAAAAAAAAAAAAAAAGAGTCTGACAAGTGAAAGTAATCCATAGCAAAAAGAACAACACCGAGGCGTTACACTATCCAACTTCAAACTATCTGACAAAGCTGCAGAAACCAAAACAGCATGGGACTGGTACAAAAGCAGACACATGGACCATTGGAACAGAATCTCTATTCCAGAGATAAAGATTGCTGTAACACAAAAATAAACCTGCACACCTATAACCATCTGTTCTTTGACAAAGTTCTTCCCTGTTCAATAAATGGTGCTGGGACAGCTAGCTAGCCATATGCAGAATGAAACCGAATGCCTACCTTTCACCATATACAAAAAATTAACTCAAGTTGGATTAAAAATTTAAATGCAAGACCTCGAACTGTAAGAATTCTAGAAGAAAATCTAGGAACCACATTTTAAACACTGGCCTTGGGAAAATGATGCATGACTAGGTCTTCAAAAGCAATTGCAAGAAAAACAAAAATTGACAAGTGGAGCTGAATTAAACTAAAGAGATTCTGCAGAGAAAATAAATAAATAAATAACTTTTAACAGAGTAAATAGCGAACTACAGAATGGGAGAAAATATTTGCAAACTACGCATCTGATGAAAGTCTAATATCCAGAATCTGTAAGGAATTTAAATCAACAAATACAAACAAAAACCTTTATTTAAAAATTTGGCAAATGTGGACACTTGTCAAAAGCAGACATACAGAAAGAGAGCCAACATATTTTTTTTAATTCCCAATATCACTAATAACTAGAGAAATGCAAATCAAAACCACAATGAGATGCCCTCTCACACCAGTCAGAATAGCAATTTTTAGAAGTCAAAAAATAACAGACCCTGGGAGGCCTTGGAGAGAAGAAAATTGCTTATTTACTGCTGGTAGAAATATAAATTAGTTCAACTACAGTGGAAAGAAGTCTCAAGATTTATCAAAGAACTTAAAATAGAAGCATTATTTGACACGGCAATCCCATTATTTAGTACATATCGAAAGGAATATAAATGATTGCACCGTAAAGATAGATACTTGTGTATGTTCATTGCAGCAATATTCACAACAATAAAGACATGGAATCAACCTAGATGCCCATGAACAGTGGACTAGATAAAGAAATTGTGGTACATATGTGCCATGGAATACCATGTAGCCATAAAAAAGAACAAAATCGTGTCCTTTCCAGCTGCATGGGTGCAACTGGATGCCATTATTCTAAGCAAACACAGAAAGAGAAAACCAAATACCACATTTTCATACTTAAAAGTGAAACATAAACACTGAGTGCACATGGACACAAAGAAAGGAATGATAGACACTGAAGCCTACTTGAGGGTGGAGAGTGGGAGGAGGTGAGGATATTAAAACTACCTATTGAGTAATATGCTGAATACCTGGGTGACAACATTATCTGTACACCAAACCCCTATGACACACAATTTACCCATGTAACAGACCTGCACATGAACCACTTGAATGAATTACGTAAACAAGAATGAGGGCATAAACAAAAAAAGACTTTACTTAACACCTTTGTCAAAATCATTGCCCATGTGTAAATATGTACGGTCTTATCCATATGCAGACCATTCATATGATGGTCTTATCCTTGAGTCTCTATTATGTTCTGTTGAACTATATGTCTCTACTTATTCCAGTATCACAATGTCTTGATTAATGTAGCTTTGTCTTGAAACAAGGCAATCTAAATTCTCCAGCTTTGTTCTACTTAGAAAAATTATTTTGAATATAACTCTTTTGCAACATTTTTGCAAACAGAAATTTATTGAAATAGATTATTAATAAAGAGATAAATTGGTGAATGCTCATAAATATGTCATGAAAATGATCAAAAGTAGTGAAATAAAAGCTATATAAGTGACATATATATGTATATAGATTTTTCAAAAAAAGACTTACATCATATACGAAAGTTTACAAATTTTAAAAAGTATCAATTCAGGGAAATGTGCCAATAAGGAATTGAACAGAAGGTAAATTTGTTTTGGGTAAAACTGGATTTTGGTCAATAGATTCTTGATGAAAGGCATACTCTCAAGCTTTCAACATTTTGTTGCTATGTGGTGGGTTAGGGTGAAAGATTAGGGAGTCTCTTTAGGGACAGAGTCTTTTGACAGGAGCTGTGCCCTTTACTCTGTCTTTTATCTTTCAACTCTCCTGATCTTATTCAGCTTGTTGGATGAGATAATTATACAAAAGATCAATAATGATGAAAAACTATTTGTTTTCAATGTGAATTAAGCATATCCACCTTTCAGATGTGATTAAGAACACTGTACACAACTGATAGCCTCTCTTTTAAGGAATAACTTAATTTAAAAACATAGCTTCTCATAAATGAACCTTAGATAATACTCTTGTCCCTCTTGCAAAAAAAAAAAAAGGGGGTGTATTATGAAAATGTTTTTTTACAAGCCCCAGGACTTTTACAATAAGGATGTTCTGTACTCACATGCCCTTACTTCTTGGCCCCATTCAAAAAAGAAAATTAAAGGTATTAACTGTGGTGAAATTGAGAGCCCATAAAAAAGGAAAGGGCTACCCATCTGGTTTCCTATAATTAGGTTAATTTGTCACCAAATTTAGAGACTCTAGGGTTTGGAGATATTCCAACGGAAGCTATTTTATTTCCCTGCTGTTAAGCTTCACTGACTAAGAGGAACCTCAGGCCCCCAGAAGTAGATAAAAGCCCCTGTGTTCCACCAGCCCTGCTCACTCACCTCTCTGTTGGGTATTCAACCATGAAACTCCATTCCTTTATTTCTGTTCTCCTCTTTGTGACTTTAATACTAAAAGGTAAGATGGTGAATGATTATAGAAGTCTATTGGGATGCCCAGATCATAAGAGGTCTATTGAGAGAATTATACTGTGGCCATCCTAACTCAGACCCCAATTCACAGCCTTAGGAATTCAGAAATCTAACATGCTTATCTTCTTTGGTACTAATGAATCCAAAATTAAGAAGCAGGACACGGAGTAATTTCAAAAGAAAATGGGGGTTCAAGAGCTCCATAATTAGAAAATGGGACCAAAATAGAGGTAGTGGTGTAGAAGTTTTGATATGTGATTTACGGGTTAGTGAATACAGCAAATAGCAATCATCAAGGCCTCACTCTCCAGAAAGGACAGCAGAGATGACAGCCCTTGGCTCAGACTTGGTAGTGAATGGAAATGATGTAGAGTCTATTGGTGAGGAATATTCATGAAGGGTAGCAGTTAGGCAAATAAGACACAGTTCAACAAGAAAGTGTTGCATCGAATTATAAAAGGCCAATAGAAATTTGGGAGCAGGGGAATTTAGAAAAAGTATAAACAGTAGCATGAAGCTTCAGTGGCAAAATTTTCAGCATAAGACAAATAATATAGAAAACATTTTAAGACTCTTAGTTGCATTCTTAAGGTCCGTGATTCAGAAGTTTAAATATTAAAATGTAGAATCAAATTTAAAAGGGAATATAGAATCAAACATCATCTGGATGTTTCATCCAGATCCTAGTAAGTTTCTGATAAAATTGTTATCTCCCCTGTTAATAGTGGGATGTTCATATCACTCAAAATGAATGTGGTCAATGAACAAAGATCTCTTCCATGCTTTATCTCTGAGATTCTTTTTTAAAATAATTTCAACTCATATTGTAGATTCAGGAGGTACATGTGCAAGTATATTAGGTTGGTATAATGTGTGCTGTGAGGTTTGGGATATGATGACGATCCCATCACCCAGGTAGCGACCATAGTACCAAATAGTCAGTTTTTCAATCTTTGTTCCCCTCCCTCCCCGCTCTAGTAGTCTCTAGTGTGGACTCATCTTTGTGTCCACGAGTATCCAATGTTTAGCCTCCACTTATAAGTGAGAACATGCAGTATTTGATTTTCTATTTCTGTATTGATTTGCTTGGGATTACACCTCCAGCTGCATCCATGTTGCAGCAAAGGATATGATTTTGTTCTTTTTTATGGCTGCATAGTATTCTATAGTGTATATGTACCACATTTTCTTTATCCAATCCACCATTGATGGGCACCTAAGTTAATTCTTTGTCTTTACTGTTGTGAGTAGTTATGTGATGAACATGGGAGTGCATGTACGTTTGGGGTAGAATGATTTATTTTCTTTTGGACAATATCCCCAGTAATGGGATTGCTGGGTTGAATGGTAGCTCTGTTTTAAGTTCTTTGAGAAATCTTCAGACTGCTTTCCACAGTGGTTGAACTAATTTACATTCCCACCAACAGTGTATGTGCATTCTTTTCTCCAGGCCTCAACTGCATCTGCTAGTTTTTGACTTTTAATAATAGCCATTCTCACTGGTGTGGGACAGTTCTCATTGTGGTTCTGATTTGCGTTTCTCTAGTGATTAATGATGTTCTATTTTTCATGTTTACTGACTGCTTCTATGTCCTCTTTTGAGAAGTGTCTGTTCGTGTCTTTGATGTCTTTTTCCCACTTTTTAGTGGAGTTATTTGCTTTTTGCTTGTTTATGTACATTTCCTATAGATTCTGGATATTAGATTTTTGTCAAATGCATAGTTAGCAAATATTTTCTCCCATTCTGTAGTTTGCTGTTTACTCTGTTAATAGTTTATTTTTCTGTGCAGAAGCTCTTTAGTTTAATTTGACTCCACTTGTCAATTTTTGTTTTTGTTGCAATTGTGTTTGAGGACTTAATCATAAATTATTCCCCAAGGCTGATATCTAGAATGGTGTTTCTTAGGTTTTCTTCTAGGATTCTTATGGTTTGAGGTTTACATTTAAATATTCAATCCATCTTGAATTAATTTTTTGGTGAAAGATAGGCATCCAGTTTTATTCTTCTGCATGTGGCTAACCAACTATCCCAGCAACATTTATTGAACAGGGAGTCCTTTTTTCTGTTGTTTATTTTTGTCAATTTTGTCAAAGAGCAAATAATGTGCAGATTTATTTCTGGGTTCTCTATTCTGTTTCAAAGGTCCATGTGTCTGCTTTTACACCAGTCCCATGCCGTTTTAGTTACTGGAGCCTTGTAGTATAATTTGAAGTCAAGTAGGATGATGCCTCCAGTGTTGTTCTTTTTGCTTAGGATTATTTTGGTTACCTGAGCTATATTTTGGCTTCTTATGAATTTTAGAATAGCTTTCTTCTATTCTGTGAAAAATGTCATTGGTAGTTTGATAGGAATAGCACTGAATAAATTGCTTCGGGCAGTATGACCATTTTCATAATATTTATTCTGCCACTACATAACAGGGCATGTTTTTCTGCTTGTGTCATCTATGATTTCTTTCAACAGTGTTTTGTAGTATCCCTTGTAAACATCTTTCACTTCCTTGGTTAAATGTCTTCATGGGCATTTGATTTTTTGTGTAGCTATTGTAAATGGGATTGCATTCTTGACTTGGCTCTGAGGTTGAACATTATTGGTTTATAGAAAAGCTACTGATTTTTGTACATTGACTTTGCATCCTGAGACTTTACTAAAGTTGTCTCTCAGGTCTAGGATCCCTTTGGCACAGTCTTTAGGATGTCTTAAGTGTAGAATCATACCATCAATAAAAAGAGACAATTTGACTTCTTTTCCTATTTAGATGCCTTTTGTTTCAAAAGGCTGATTGCTCTGTCTCATGCTTCCAGTACATATTGATTAGGATGGTGAAAGAGGGCACTCTTGTCTGTTCCAGTTCCGATATTCTTTTAAATGCAATCAAAGCTACTCAACTGTTTAATCTTAACCTACTCTGTGGACATGTTGAGACCTACCTCACATATGACTCCCTGCTTTTGAAGGAGCTTATGCAATTCTCCTTTGGTTCTCAGAAGATGCCATTGGTCAGAAGGTACAATTGACGTCAGACACACTTGTGGTGGCATCTGATATGAAATTATATGATGGTAATGATTTCAAATTAAAATAAAACTTAATGGTAATTGTTTTTATTTTAGGAATAGAACCCATGTACAGATACAGAATGTGATTTTACTACGATCACATAGGTAGTAGCAACATTGCAGCTAAAATCAAATCTCTTTAATCTGGGTCAGTGTTGCTGTTTTAATCAATCCGTAGGTGTGGATATGCACACAAAAATGATAACTCTGATTTCTGTCAGACTTTTTTCTCAAAATCTTCTGATTATATATTGGGGAAACCAAGGAGATTTTCTGCTGTATTTGACAACACGGATGAACCTGAAGGACATTATGCTAAATGAAATAAGCCAGTCACAGAAGACAAATACTGCATGATTCCACTTATATGGGGTACCTAAAATAGTCAAACTCATGGAAGCACGTGGTAGAATGGTGGCTGTTAGGGACTGGGAGGGAGGAGGAAATGAGGAGTTGCTGTTTAACCAACTGCACAATGCAGTTAAACCCGCACCTTCCATAACTGGCTGGTGAGACTTCAAGTCTCTCTCTGAAAGGCAGCCACTTTGTCTTCCACAGTAGTCTTGGGGAAAAAAAGAGATAGTATTACCAGATATTATCCAACTCTCCCATCATGACATTCTCTTGCTGCATAGAAACCCTGAGTTTACGGACCGCTCATCTGATAGTAGAGTATAATACCAGACTTCACTAGGTGGAAGCTTCTAACAAGGGTGGAAGACAATCTTGCACAGGTTATGAGCACTCAGTTTCAAAGGCTGCATTGGTTTTTCTGGCTTTGGATCTATTTCTACAAAATAGAGAAACAGTAATGATAGCATAGTTTAAATACAAAACAATAACAAACTATAACAAAAAGATTCCGAGCTGAAAAGGCCATCAAACTATTAGTCACATGCAGAAGCAAAGAAGCAAGAGGTAGAATGTTAGAGGACAGTAAAAATAAGATCCAGGTGTGTTAATAGGATGGTTCAGGAACCAATGTCTGTCAATGAACATAAACAAAAGTGTTTTTCTTATATGACATCTGCTGTGATCCACAGTAGGAAAAATAAACTATGGTTGTGCTAAGAAGGCAAGAGAAACGAGAGTAAGCATAGAGCAAACTACTGAATTAGAGCACACCCATAGCCATATGCTTCTCAACAACCAAATAAATAAAAGAAAATGTGGATACACTTCAGGGAAAATACCTTTTAGCTCTGTGAGTAATTCTCTCCACGTATCTATCTATCTATCTATCTATCTATCTATCTATCATCTATCTATCTATCTATCTATCTATCTATCTGTCTGTCTGTCTGTCTGTCTTATTTATCTATGAGGCATTGAGCAACATAGGAAAGGTGTTTCTTACATAGTCCTGAAGTGGGGAAATTAGTTTAGATAAAATCTAAAGGATTGATAGGGTTTCTTTAAAAGGAGCTAAAGACGCAACCCTGCACCATTTGATAAGAGTGATGTACACACAGAAGGGAAGGTGGAGGGACATACTTTTTTGAAACTGTTTCCTAGGGGGGCCTTGTTGGTGTTTGGTACAAGACAATTCCTTAGGTGAAAAATTCAGTAATTCTGTGCTTTACCCACTAAATACCAATGACACCTTCCCTAGTCATGGCGGCAAGAACAAAAGGTTCCACACATTTCCAAATGTACTGTTCCAAGGGAGGACAATCCCTTTAAAGGTTTTTAGAAATTTGCCTATTTCCTTCAAGGTGTATATAATCTGCAATCTTAGCTCCCCTCCCATAAAAAGGCACCATTTTTGTCTATGTGTCTGATCCTTTTTTATAGACAATGTTTTCTTTTCTATCCCAAAGTCATTCTTCTGGGGGTTAATTGTTTTATGCGCATTTCCAACAGTGAATTAATGATGTTCCTAAATCTCTTCCTGTGTAGGAAAGACTGGCGTTATTCCAGGACAAAAACAGTGTATTGCTTTGAAAGGGGTGTGCAGAGAAGCCAGATGCAGCACATTAGATGATACCATTGGTATATGTAGTCACGAAAAAAAATGTTGTAGAAGGTGGTGGATACTTGAGCCCTATCCAACTCCGGTTCCCAAAGGAAAATCTCCTTAGGTGGGAGCAAACTTTAAGCCCTTTGAACTCTAGAATTGATGGATACATTTTGCAGACTTCTGTTTAACATAATTTCTTATTGTTCATTGACTGGAAATAAATGTTGTCCTAATCCCACATGTACTGACTGACTCCTGGAGCGTTTCTTCTTCTTGATGCACATTCAAGCCTCTTAAGAACTATAAGAATCAATAATAGAGGAATCCCATACCCTACAGGTGTTTATTAAAAAAGTAAGCGTCTAAGAAAAAAATAAAGATAATAATGTTAAATATGTAAAACAATGAGAATATGCAGTCGCAGTAGGCAGTGTTTGATTATTTGAAGTGGAAAGTCAGCCTTCTTCCTCATCTGGTTCTGAACAAATATCATTTTCATTACTAATAGAGACCTACTTAGATAACATGGGTCAACGTCTGCTAATGATGCCACCTTGCTAACATTGCACCTGAGAATTAGGCACATGACCATTCTAGTCATTCCAGCACGTGAAGCTGGTCTCCCCTCTACTGCCCTCTGCCCCTAGAGAAATAGAAAAGAAGATCTGCGTTCTGCAAGTAGGCTCACTAGGAGGAGCTGTAGAGCTGAAGAGTTGCTAAGTCAGCATGCCTGGTTCGTTCTTTCCAAACTCTCAGATAACTCCATTTTCAGGCCAAGAAAATTAAAGGGCAGGAAGGATACCAGGAGTACGACATGGCATGAGTGCCACAAAGATGGAAAAAATCTAGAATGAGACCAAATTACCCCACAAACAAAATTCAAGAGTTGGTGTTTTTTTAACCACAAAGCTTATAGTCAATCAATCAGGGGAGCGGGAGGGTGGGTTATCTCCCTATGCAGAGGACACATCAGGAGTCTATTAAAATAACTCTAATTGCATCTTCGTGGATCTGTTTCTTCAGTGATGGTCTTTGCTTTTTCTGTATCTCCTCAGAATCACGCATGAACAGCATGTTACTCTGAGATCAGATTCTAAGCTAATCTCAGAATAACACACTAATACAATTTTTACCAGGTACACTGTACTCATAGCTGAAAATTCATATCTTCTTTGTCATTGTAAGTTATGTGCCGCTACATTATTCAGTATAGCACATTAGAGATTCTCTGATAATTAATGACAGTAAGGGATTTTTAAAGTCATAAATACCCTCCTATATCAAAATGCTAAAAAGGAAAAATTTCCGACATTTGAATATAAACAAAAACTTTCCTTTTAAAATGTCTAGGCATAAATCGAAGTTCAAAGATTGAATGTCTTCAATCTCTATGTTAAAGCCCAAGGCATTAGAATCCAAATGAAGGAAGGTAAACAATGAATATTTGGTTATAAATTATTTATTGAAAATCTGGCACCTTCTTGGAGTGCTATGTGCAATAAAATGCAATAATTTCTAGGTCAGATTTAACTATCTAATGGTAAATCGCCTCCTTTCTTCTACTGTGACAACTTATATTTGACAGCTATCTGATCTTCTTGGTGTTCTTTTAAGGAAAGGTATTTATCAAAGCACTTTCTCTTTTTTTACTGAAGCCCTCTGCAATCTAAGCCATCTTTCAATGCTCATCTGGTACCTACTGGCCCACTCCCAGAATGCAGTGAACCTTCCTGTGACCCTTCTTTAATATCCCTGATCGCCAGCCCGTGGATTACACGATGTTCTTGGGCTTCCTGGGAAGCATTCCAAACCTGTCTCCTGGCTCCAGATCTATTAGGTTGGTGCAAACCTATATCAGGCTGGCAAACAAAGTTCATAGACTATATCAAGCAGAGAAAATTCTGCCCTTAGTGTTCCATAAAGGATTTCACTTATTTGTTCTCATAAAGTCTTTTGCTTTGTAATGTAAACTGTATTTCCAAAGCTTTTCCGCATGATCAAGAAGGAAAGACTTCTCAGATAGGTGAGAAAAAGCAGTAAATTCTGGATTCTTGATCAGAGATGCCAGTGATCCTCAGCCATTCTAGTTTCAGTAAATGGAATAGTCAGCAATAGCAATAACCAGCACAACGACCCTAAGATCCCCCTTTGTGTTTCTAGGGTGCCTGCAGAGGCTTGTGCCCAGGCACTGAGGTTTAGGGAAAAACATCCCCAGAGCTTTCATGCCCCTCATTGGCCCTCCTTAGGCTTAGATTTGCGAAGTTTGCCTCTTCCAAGGCCCCCCATCCCTGATTCAACTTAACATGTCATGTTCAAAGTCTCTAAAGGCAGGGAATGCCTGCTTAAATAAAGTAACCACATGTTCCATTCACTGAAACTCTGAAGTATTATAGAAGTAGCACCCTGAAGAAGCCATGGCAGAAAGAGAACTTCCTTTTTGATACTGAGAAAAGTTCCTTCACCCGTAGTGAGACCATCTAGAAAGCCACGAAGATCAAGTAAGACCAGGAATGTGCATGTACTTTGCAGTTTCTGAGGTTGATATTCTGGCCGGACGTGGTGACTCACACCTGTAATCCCAGCACTTTGGGAGGCGTAAGCAACAAATCACTTGAGGCCAGGAGTTCAAGACTGGCCTGGCCAACATGGCAAGACCCTATCTCTAGTAAAGACACAAAAATTCGCCAGGCATGGAGGTGTGCACCTGTGGTCCTAGCTCCTTGGGAGGCTGAGGCAGGAGAATTGCTTGAACCCACGAGCTGGATGTTGCATTGAGCCAAGTTCACACCACTGCACTCCAGCCTGGGCAACAGAGTGAGACCCTGTCTCTAAATAAATAAATAAAGTTTGCTCATACCCTCTTTATGCATTCCCTAGGCCACCCAAAGTATTCTGGCGTTTATGTTCATTTCCTTAGTGTCTGAGTGGTAATTTGTGCGTCTCTGTCAGAAATGTGCTCGTGTTGCATTGCCATTGCTTTGTGTTATTTGCTTTCCCACGTGTATTACGGGTTCTCTAAGGCCCACTCATCTTTCTTTTATTCCTCTCGTATTACATATAACTGAGGTGTAAAGAATTTGTTTTAACTTAGATTTCAATGTAACAATGAGTTGATCTCATTCAGTTGATTGGACAGAAAGATAATCAAATGACATCTTTTCTATATCTTACTAGTCTGTTTACCATTTCAAATCTAATGCCACTGGTTAAGGATGCGAATACACAGTGCCAGAAATGTTAATAAATAGGCATGCTGTTGTATCATGTGCTGCTTTTTATCAGAAAAAATCAAATGAATGCTTTTCCTGTATAACTGCTTCCTTCCCTTTTACAATTCCTCCAGAATGCACGAGACAATGCTGAGATTTCAACAGAGTCTCCTTCCTGCCTTTGCCATGGGTGTGCTTTCTGCTACCTTTGTCCGCACCCTGTTGAGATTTGATAAATGTACTTTGAAATGACTGATAGTCATGATGATTGCATGCTGTCTCCTGATATAAAATCTCATTGAAGCACAGAAGTGTTCTTGCTCCTGAAAGGTTCAATAATCATTCAGCAACTCGTCTCTTAAGAGGACTAAACGTGCACAGACGTCCTCTGCACCTCAGCTACTGATTCTCTCTAACCTGCTTTACCTATTCGACCATGAGGGTCTTGCTTTTTATCTTTGGAGTCCTTGCCTTGTTGTTCACAGTTTCTGCAGGTAAGACAGAAACTTTTTATTCCAAAGTTCTAAAATTACAAGTAAAGAAAATGGAAGGTATTTCAAGAGTCTGAAAATAAATTAGACATGGGCAGATCTTACTGTACCATGAAGGCTGCTCAGAGGATTGAAGAGTCGATACCAAAGACATCAACAAGGTGGTTCATTGCAGTGATTTAACCTATTATAAATTCACTTGAGGCCGGTCACTGTGGCTCATGTCTGTAATCCCAGCATTTTGGGAGTTTTGAGGTGGGTGAATCACTTGAGCTCAGGAGTTCTAGACCAGTCCCTGGGGGGCAACAGGGCGAAACCCCATCTCTACAAAAACGTACAAAAAGTAGCCCAGTGTAGTGGCACGTGCTTGTGATTCTGGCTACTCAGGAAGCTCAGGCAGGAGGATCGCTTGAAGCTGGGAAGTCAAGGCTGCGTGGAGTTTACGTTGTGCCACTGCACCCACCTGGGCAGCAGAGTAAAACCCTGTCTTGAAATATGATGATAATAAATAAAAAATAAAGTTACTTGAGAGTTGTGTTTGATCAAAAGATGGTGAGAGGGTGCACAAAGAATACAGGAAATTTAAAGAACTGCGAGAATGAAAAGCAAATGATGACTGGAAGAAGGGCTGGAGGTGAAGAGGTGGGTGTCCCACCATAATCCTTGATTCACAGGACACTTTGACCGCTGACCCAGGCAGGGACCTACTCTCCGTGTTCCTCTAAAGTTGAATAAAATGCTTGCCAACTACAAAGTGCTAGTAAGATGAAAAATAAATAAATAAAAATAAAATTGAATAAAACTCGTGGTATCATTTAATGTATGTGGAAATTACTTTTTGTATGGTCAGACTTAAGAGTTCAGCTTAATTTTTAACCACATAATTAGCCAATTATGTAGTTATATTTATTAAATAAGCAGTATGACTTTTCCAAATTAATTTAAAAATTCATCAGTACTCCATAATAAAAACGTATTAAACTGTGGTTTATGCCTGAGATTTAGATTAGTAGTTGACTGATTTATAATTTCTAAAGCACATTTTAATACTTCACAATTCAAGATTTCCTCATTTATATAACACTTCACTATTGGAGATTCCTTTATTTATGTAATTATGAATAATTATAATTTTCCTCCATGAATGTTAGTGGGTTTATAATATGTTTATTGAGATATAATTTACTATAAAATTTATTCCTTTAAAGTGTTCCATTCAGTGGCTGTCAGTGTATTCTTAAAATGGTGCACCCATCACCATTATCTAATTCCACACATTTTTGTAACCCCAAAAAGAAATCTCTCCTCCTCCCAGTCTCTAACAACCACTAGTCTGATTTTTGTCTCTACCTAGATTCCTATTCTGAACATTTACTATAAACAGAATCATAAATATGTGATCCTTCATGTCCGTCTTCTTT